ATTTCTGATCTAATTCTGATTAAACTTTATAATGATATTATATAAGATAACAATAATATATTTAATATTATAATTGGACTATATATTATTTTAATCATTCCAATTTAATATATATGTTAAAAGAAAATATAATCTACTTTAAAGAAGATTATCAATATAAATACTAATATATAGTATATTTATAATTAAGAAATATTATATATATAGAAGTATGCCTTACTTAATATTTACACCTCTAGATTTGACAGCTTAAACCAATTGAATCTCTTTGAAATATCTGTTAAAAAATATTAGAGCTATGTTTTACTTGATTTTTAAGTTCCTAGATTTGATAGTTAGATTAATTAAGATTAGTTATAATCAACTATTAAATAATTTATTAGAAAGTATATATATATATTAATTTCTTTTTGACACTATAACTACATAAATTAAAAAGATATAATATGAAAGATATAATCTACTAAATATTAATATAATTAATTTTATAAAAATATTTATTGTTTCTTTAAATAATTGAAAAGTAATTTAAATTAGTAATAATATTTTTATCTTCTAGATAGGTTTTTCCAAAAATATAAATTTACTTTCAAAGTATCATTAATATTATTTAGATAATAAATAAAATAGGCTAATATTTAATTATAATTTAGTATTATAGATAATATTTGATATAATCAGGATATTATATATATTTCAATAAACAATTAATATCTAATTTTTATTCTATTATATAAAAAAAAATTATTAATTAATAAAATAATAATAATAATAATTAATTAATAATAATTAATAATAAATAATTAGTAATCAATTATTAGTAATTAATAATTAACAATTAGTAATCAATTACTAACAATTAATGGTTAACAATTAATAATTAATATTAATAATTAATAATTATTAAATTATTAAAAACCATATTAAAAAAAATTATTAAAATATGTATCTAAAAAAAGATTTTTGAAAATTTTTAATTAATAATTTTATTTTTTTCAAATATAATTATCTATATTTTTAAAATATTTTTAAAAAATATAAAGCAAATTTAATTATTTAAAAAATGAAAATAAAAAAATTATTAAAATTATTTTAATATATAAATTTATTAAACAAAAGTAAAATAATAATAAATAATTATTATTATTATTTTATATTTGCAATCAGATTAAAATCAAAATTATAGAACCATTACAAGTATAAAAATACATACAAAATATAAATTTTCTTAATCTAACTTATTTGTTAACAGCTGAAATCTCTAAATGTAATTTATAGGAGTAATATGTTGTTCTTCTAATGAATAAAATTAAGATCCAAAACTTTTAATAAGAGCAAAACTTATAGATTATCTCTTTAGTCACAACTATAAATCCAAATTGTATTATTTCTTTTTTTCAAAAACTATATAAGAGAAAAAAATTATAAAAAAATTATAGAAAAAGAAAAACAATACAAATATGTATAAAAAAAAAGATAATAATAATAATAAAAGTTGTCATCTATTTTAACAATTATTGAGAAGATTATTTCAATAAACAAAATTCAAGTCTTTTATAATTACTAATGATCTCACTTCTTACTACCTGTAATCAGCAAGATTGTTTAATTTTAATTGAAGTGATGGTATTCAAGAATGTTTAAGGATACTTCCAGGAAAGTATTTCTTGAAACTTTATACTTGAAGACTTCTAATCAGAAAAGATATTGATTTTCTATTATTGATTTCTTTTCTAAGCTATGTATTCTGGAATTATTGCTTTATACAATCATTCTCCTCATCAGAATGGCTCTTGATAAGTGGTGAAATATCTTTTGTAAATGGCTCCTGTTTATTAGTAATAGCCTGCATCTGTTTCTGTTCCAATTTTATGATTTTATCTTTAAGCTCAGTATTTTCTTCTGCAATCTGTTCCAATTCGGCAATCCTGGCTTTGAGCTCAACATTCTCAGCTTCGCGTTTGGTGCTCTCTTCCATAACCCGTTTTAAAAGCTCGGCATTCTTTGCCTCAAGCTCAGTCTTTTCGGCTTCGAGCTCAGAAATTCGTTGTCATAATCAATCTCGTATTGCATGTTTAATAATAGATTGTATATATTTATTGTTTATTTAAAATGCATAACTAAAGTAATAAAATTTCGGCGACAAGCCGTTGTCAAAAATTCAAGAAAGAATAATTGCAAAGCACTACATAATTAAATATTTCTTATCTCAAACTGATCTTGTAATATTTAAGACTTTTTTGATTTAAATTAAAAATGGTACTTTTTTCATGAAATCAGAGCAGAAACAATCACTTTTCCATTGTTAAAACTTATGCAAATTATTAATTATAATATAATATGATATCTAATAAAAACTTTCATTAATCAGGCTGAACGAAAGAGCTATCTGGTTCGCTTTTTACATAAGTGGTTGTGACACCTTTTTGTGTATATCTTTTTGCGGGGTAAATGGGTGGGGTGGAAGAATATCCGAAGAAAGATTAGACGCATTTACATCTGAATCGTTATGTTCTTCACGTAGTTTATAAATAACTTCAGTAACTTCCTGTAGCCAACACTATGAATTAAGAAAATAAGTTAATGGTAAAGTATAACAAAACATTAAATTTGTCGAAAGAAAAAACATTACCCTGAGATCCCACAAGACAACAACAAAATCAAAGATACACTTTCGCTCATCTTCGAAGCAAATAGGAACAGTTGCCCTATGTGTTCGTTCATATTGTAAAACACCACAAGATGGAACATACATTCTCCAAAGTTCAATCCGATTCTCTATGAATTCAAAGTAACAAAATTATAAAAGAAAGCTTTAAGAATATTATACAGTACTACACCTACCATAAGTGTGCAGAGAAAAGACACTTATTTTTGAAAATGTTTCACACGACGCTCCTCGAAATCGTTCCCCAATCTCTTCCAGCATATACGCATTACCAATCGGCAACTTGCAACAACCATCCCAAGTTGACCGAGAGAAATCTTTGTGACCATACCCGCCACTCATTTCTAAGTGTCCAATTTCAATAAAAGATTTCTTCAATCGTGTAAAGAAAATTCCATCCGCTTTTTGTTCAAACAAGGTGTTACATTTTCTTCTTTCACGGCATGATTTGACTGATGACAAGGCTATCTCTCCTCTTGTGTAAAAGTCATCACGCATAAGTAATTATTGGCAAAATTATCATGATTGAAGATCAAGGACTATTTACTTACGCATGATAATATAAAAACTTTTCCATGCCAAAAAGCGCACATTTCAAAAAAGGATGAATCATGTAACTTCCATAATTCGATTCTGATACATTTGGCTGTTGAATTACCGAATCATCTGGAAAGATATCCCATTGACTTTATAAAAAAAAAAATTATTATATAGCGAACTTGTATCGGTCATAACAAATGATACTTACAATATTGATAAAATTTTAATAAAAAAATTTTCAAAAGGGTCTTTAAGAGGAAACAATATATCACTTGTTTTAAGTTCATCTAAAATAAGCTTTCTGCTGTCTTCCTTGATAATGTCGTTAAAATTATTTAAAAGCTGAATCTCCTTTAAGCTTTTCTCTAAGGAATCAAGTGATTTCTATTGAAAAGTGAAATCTTAGAACTCTTCAAGAATAAAGAACTGACGTAAAAGTAAAAACATACAAATTTCAAAAGCTTAGATATAATCTCTGAACAACTAGAAACAGTTGCTCGCCTTGTGAGCCTTTGAATTTCCGCATAATCGTCAGTGCTACACCATCCCAGTTTTGCGATTTTAAAACCACAATGAATGATTCCCCAGACTTCAGGTCTAAAAAAAATTAATTAGTATCGGCATATATTAATAATTAACAATTGTATATAATTACCTGAGAGGATGTCCTTTTTTATTAGCGGATTCGGCCAAAAGATTAGTAATAACTTCACCAGAGCATAGTTTTCATTGACTCCAAGTATCATCATTAAAGAATCGTTCAGATGCAGGCATTGTTAAATCTTCATCGGTTTCCTGAAAAGATAGATCGGGATCGATTTCTGTACCTTCTTTATAATTTCCAAGACCAAAATCATAATTTGTGCTCTAAAAAATAATCGGATTAATTTTTTGTCAAAATTATTGAAAAAAATTTATTTCATGCCCCAACCTCAATCGATTCAAAAGTAAAATCCGAATTTATAGATATTTGATCACTTAATTTCGCCTGGAAAGATTGGACAAATATTGTTAATAAATTATTTGATCTCAGAAAAAATTTGTAAGTCTCATAATCTCACCCGTTTAGTTGATGTTGTTTCTCCATCCTTAATTGATGTTGTGTCTTCAATATCCTGTGATAAAAGAAATCATAATTTCGTCTTAAATACGTCAAAAATAATATATTTTTCTTCAAAAATGACTTACACTAGAATTGCTTTCGCTATCTTCTAATATGCGTTTTTTGATTCTGTTCATTTCTTTGCTGAATTCTACAAAGCCGTCAGCAACATGCTGATGAATCTTCATTACTGATTCTGTGTTATTCTTTAATTGCGTAACCTGTAGTATATCATATGAATTTATTAGTACAGATAGTATACCATAGCGAGAAAGTCTTACGCGTATATAAAAAAATACCTTCATGCGTTCGATTTCGGCCAACTCGATGACTTTCTGGTTCTCAACTAATTCTAATTGTTTTTTGGTTTGATATTGAATCGAAAGCTCTTGAAAAAAATCCGCTGTTGTTTTTGTGAATTTCCATTTCTTCTACCATGAAAGAGAAAGAAATTGGTTAAATTTCCCAATAATAACGTAAATAAAAATAAAGTCTTGTTGCTTTAAAAAATAAACAGGCTGTGGCAAACAAACAGTCCAACACCGGTAACAAACAGTTCCTAGTGTGCCATAGGAGACCAAAGAGAAGGATAGACAAACAGTCGATCTTCCAGTTGACAAACAGTTCTCTGGCTCAATCCAACATCTCTGTTATCTCTTAAGACTTGTAGCAACAAAAACAACAAACAGTCGTTCCATGATGCATACAATCCTATCCTATGTACTTTTTACATATAAAACATCACCTGAAAGTCCTCATACAAATCAGTTGCCTTCTTTCGCATGTCGTCCTTAATATATATATTACTCTTTGTTTTCTCAAGCCTTTTCTTCATATGATCCACAATCTTCACCTTGCTCCCCTCCAGCACCTCACAAGAGCCACACCAGGTAGCAAAGTCGTCGAGGCTCCACAAGGCTGGTGAGGTAATTTGTAGGTAGTCATTCTTTTCGGCAATCTTCATAATAGTTACAGTAAGTGACAATTTTTTTACGCGTACCGCGTTCTTTT